TTTTGAACGCACGGAAACAATCTTCGAGTGTCATGATGATAATCGTAATTAATTGTTCAACGTATGGACATCAGCGAAGGGTTTTTAAGCTCAGACACGCACGTATAAGTGTCAGTCAAGTCTAAAAAAATCAGACAGCACCTGAAGGTTCAAGATGAGCAAAATATTGATCTCGGAAACGTGGTGACAGCAAAGATTGAAACTACAATGGGTCACCGTCCCAGATTCAATAACTGCCGTGGCATCATATATATATATATATATATATATATATATATATATATATATATATATATATAATATACACTCCGCATATGTTTTATCGACTAACGCGAACAAAGATGACTTTCGAGTAGACTAGTATGTCCATGTATCCGCTGGTTGACTCTGACTGCATCAGACCTGGCTGCAGAGTCTGGCTATGTTGATGCCTGCCATAAGGTGCAGGCGGCCCTCTGTGATGCTTAATGTGGACTGCCCCCGCCAAGAGCTTGTTCCTGGGAACATCCCCGTTGCAGGTCACAGGCTCTGGCGAATCCTTCTCAGTTCCGTTCCGGTGATTTCAGTTGGTTGCTTATCAAACGGCAGTCATGTTTGGTGTGTGTTGTGTTTGTTTTTGAGCCCGTCGCCTGGAGGCTGAGCGAGTCGGCTGGGAGGGTAGTACCCCGTATGCGGGGAACGCGACGAGGAGACCAGACCCTGGCATGTCCGTGGTCTGTCACCTCGGCTAGGAGGGAAGTATTACGGATGCGGGGAACGCGGCGAGGGGACCAGACCCTGGCCGGTCAGTGGTCTGGTCGGCTCGGCTAGGAGGGTAGTACTACGAATGCGGGGAACGCGGCGAGGAGACCAGACCCTGGCGGGTCCATGAGACCAGACCCTGGTCGGTCAGTGGTCTGGTGGGCTCAGCTAGGAGGGTAATACCACGGGCGCCGGAGGGTAGTACCACGGACGCGGAGGACGCGGCGAGGAGACCAGACCCTGGTTGGTCAGTGGTCTGGTCGCCTCGGCTAGGAGGGTGGTCTACTGATGCGGAGGACGCGGCGAGGGGGCCAGACCCTGGTCGGTCCGTAATCTGGTCGGCTCGGCTGGGAGAGTAAATACTACGGCGCCGGAGGGTAGTACCACGGACGTGGAGGACGCGGCGAGGAGACCAGACCCTGGCCGGTCGGTGGTCTGGTCGGCTCGGCCGGGAGAGTAGTGCTACGGACGCAGGAGGGTATTACCATGGACCCGGGAGAGCGGCGAGAGGGCCAGGCCCTGGTCGGTCAGTGGTCTGGTCGCCTCGGCTAGGAGGGTGGTCTACTGATGCGGAGGACACGGCGAGGGGGCCAGACCCCGGTCGGTCCGTAATCTGGTCGGCCACGCGGCAACGCTCGGCTTAAGCTTTCCGGTCGGTGTCCAGCAATCATCCAGTCATCCGATCATTGATAATCGTTCCTGTCTTTTTGTACACATCGCTGGGCTCCCCCAGTGGTCGCAGACTGCTGCCCTCGGCGCACAATGATGCTGCCATATTTGTGCCATTTTTTGTTTTGGTGCAGGGTTTGTGCGGTCGTGTCCAAACCCGTGCTTTCCGTCCTGGTTAAGCATAGATATCCCTACCTCAATCGTCATTAACATCCACGGGAATACCACCGAGAGACCTGCAGCTTCGCAGAAGCCTGTAAGCCTAGGTGGTGGAGGAACTCCCCACTGAAGCCCGATCAAGCCTGCCGAGATTTGTATCGATGCTGTCCCCCCGCCATGCCGTAGTCTTATGGACTGGGGTTTGGCGGGGCGGATAAGCCGCTGTGCTACTGCGAAGGCGAGTTGAGCTGGTCAGTGCAAAATTTCCCGGCCTGGCTTGATTCTCATTCGTATACTTTAGACCACTGCGATGGAAACCTGGAATACGCAGCGCAAACCGAAGACTTCCCTGAAGCCACCGCCAGAAACAGTGTAATGAATCGCGTGAGATGTGGCAGCGGAAAAGGTCATGGACACCTCATTTCACCTGACCACATCGTCACATTGTCCTTGCTGTGCGCTTGCCTGCAAGATCACATGATTTTTACTGTGGTGCACGTGCTGTGTTGTGCCGGCGCGCTCACTATAGGCGGAGCACGCTCTCCGCCATGGCAGCTCTTAGACGCCGGGCCATGGCCAGCGGCGGCCGCACCTCGCCACGCCGCTGCAAAAAAACCGTCGCTAACAGCTCGGCGATGGTGATTTGGGCAGGGGCGGACTCAGGCCGGTTTACACGACGGCATAAGCGACGCCAGGCTACCAGTCCCGACGTCTGGGATTGGCAGCGATGAGTCGTTAAGAAGTGCGGGTTCTCCCTTTCACCGTGCGTTTGTTTTATTGCATTCCGTGATGTTCTGGCGCTGGCTTGAGATTTTTGGTGCTGGCGCATAGTGACGCCTATGTTAAATGCTACCAGACTCAGATGCGTGTGTGGTGAGGCCTATGTGAAATGCTATCAGGCTCAGAGGCGCATGTGGGAAGGCCTATGTTAAATGCTACCAAGCTCAGAGGCGTATGTGAGGAGTCTCATCTCCAGCATGTCACCACCAGCTCAGAGCTCCGGCATCATCCCCCCTCCCCCCTCCCCGCTCAGAAGGCGCCAGGTCGTGGGGGCTCTCCGCCAAAGACGTCACCACTTGCAGACGTGGCGGCCTGACTCGGTCGCGCACGTCACGGCTTTCTGGCGTGTTGACATAGCTGTCACGCACGTCGGAGGCCTTTAATGTGGCGACTTAATTGGGCCCCGCACGTCACGGCTTCCTGGTACGCTGACACAGCCCCGCATGTGACAGTTTCCTGGTACGCGGACACAGCCCCGCGCGTGACAGTTTCCTGGTACGCGGACACAGCCCCGCGCGTGACAGTTTCCTGGTACGCGGACACAGCCCCGCCCGTGACGGTTTCCTGGTACGCGGACACAGCCCCGCCCGTGACGGTTTCCTGGTACGCGGACACAGCCCCGCGCGTGACAGTTTCCTGGTACGCGGACACAGCCCCGCGCGTGACAGTTTCCTGGTACGCGGACACAGCCCCGCGCGTGACGGTTTCCTGGTACGTCGACTCGGTCAGACACATTACCACTGTCCGCCGCTCCGTGGTGTCCGCCACGGGCTGTCAACGGATATCGCAGGGTCCGTCTGCCGGCAGAACATTACTATTATCCGCCGCTCCCTGGCGTCCGCCACTGGCTGTCAACGGATTTCGCCGAGCCCGACCGCCGGCAACCAAGCTCGACAAATCATTACAATTATCTGCCGCTGCCTGGCGTCCGCTACTGGCTGTCAACGGATGCCGCAGAATCCTTCTGCCGGCATCCAAGCTCGGAGGAGCGAGCCCCAGTTCGCTCTGCCTGTCCCACCAGGGCTGGTCGTTCTGCCCAACACATCTTCCATTAGCTCCACCGACGTCTCATGTTCGCAGTCGATCATAGATCTTGACGGCGGTCGTAACTCGACAAATTAGAAGCCAATCATCGTTTCGCTCGAGATCAGCGCCAGATGATGGCCGCGTAGCGCGGCTCGTGGGCCGTGTGAGATCAACGAGACGCTATCCTGGCAGTGGCAGCTGCAGCACGGCCGCATGCCGGAGGGGGGGGGGGGGCGAGGGCTGCCGCGCTTGTCACGACGAGCCGCCTCTGGAGCCGGTCTGACACCACCAGCCGCCTCTGGAGCCGGCCTGACGCCATTGGCCACCTCTGGAACCGGCCACCGCTGAAGCTGACTGAGCACACGCGGCCGTGCCGTGCGCAAGTGCCCGCCGCAGCGGCCGCCTGCACACAGACCGGCGCGCTGACAGGTGACCGACCGCGCCCCACTGTCGCTGACAGGTGGCCGACCGCGCCCCACTGTCGCTGGCAGGTGGCCGACCGCGCCCCTGTCGCTGACAGGTGGCCGACCGCGCCCCACTGTCGCTGACAGGTGGCCGACCGGCGCCCCCACTGTCGCCTGACAGGTAGCCGACTTTCGCCCGGCGGGCCAAACGTCGAGCGGCGGCCAGCTCGTGAGGTCGCGGACCCAGGCTGTCGGGCCGGCGGTCTCGCCGATATCGCCGTCCGCCCGGTGGCGGGCAGCTGATATCGAGGCGGCGATTGGTGGCGGCGTGTTGTACGCCGGATGACTTGTTCTTCCTCGCCGACAATCACGTCAAGTGAAATGATATGTTACACCAGCAATCAAGAAATTAACGTTGGACGTGCCAAATAGACATTTGCAGTGCCTGGTGTTTGATTGAGGAGTATTTAGCAGCAGACATGCCACAATGAGATAATAAACAGGGCAGTTAATGCACGCGTTGGAAGAAAATGTAACTCACATGGCCCGGGGACAAGCGAAAGGTACTCAAAATAAAGTCTGAGACTAAACAGCGTGATTTACCGTCGCCCCGACGTGCTCACTCTCATACATACTTAGGGGGTGATGTTTGTGCCATCTGCCCTTCTCTCAGACGAGGCGGCCGTCTGTGCCTGTCTGTAACTGTAGCTAAAGCGTATGCCACCACGTTCTGTGACCAAGGGATGATGCGTCACCTTCCTCCCCCCTCCCCAGCCATGTGTTCCGGACATGCCACGCCCTACCAGATAGCCTTGTTTCCGAGCCGTAGCGAAGCGCTGTGTGCACTTCGGTACACATGGTGTTCTGCCTCTGTTTGCCACGGTGCTTGTCGATGTGCCACCCTGTGCCGGCTGCGCTTCAGCCAGACCAGGTCTGAACCTCCAGCTCACCTAAGGTCAACACCTTTCGGACCTGCGCTGTCCTGTGGCCGGCGGCAGGACAAGCTGCGGGACCATGGCTTACCTGTGTCTGGCAGTGTTTTAGTGGCCGCTGTCGCCGTGCTGCCCGATGTCTGGCAGTGCTTTAGCAGCCCGTCTAACCTGGCGTCGCGCTCTGTGCTCCGGCAGTATGGCGGGCTCCGGACCTGAGCTCCCTGGTCGCCCAGCAGAGTCCGTCGGCCTCCGACTGCTCCGCGCCCGCCGACCCGGCCATGACCCCCCGTCGACTCGGAGTCGCGACTGCGCGACTCCGAGTCGACGAGCCGGCTACCTCCGGACGTGGAGCGGGCCGAGGTCGAGGCCTGGCTGGACGACCACCCCGACTTCACCAAGGACTTCTTCATGAGGTGAGGCGACAGGCGCCGGCCGGGCCTTAGTGATGGGATGGGATGGGATGAGATTGGATTGGATGTAATGTAATGGAATGGAATGGAATGGGACGGCGGGGGATGGGATGGGAATGGGATGGGATTGGGATGGGATGGGATGGGATGGGATGGGAGATGGGGACGGGATGGGATGGGAGCGAAGGAGAGGGGGGAGAGAGAGCGGAGGGGGATTACTAAGCTGGCGGTCACTCCGATTACTGGCAGGGATGTTTTGCCAGTCATGATGATGCCTAATGCCGGCCCGTGCTGAGCTTGCGCCGCGTAGTGGGCTGACTTTGCGGGATTTTGTCCAGTGTTCCGCGACTGGTTGTGCGGAACATCGTGCTGTGTTGTGGGGCTGATGGTGCGAAACACCGAACTGTGATGAACACTGGTGCGTCGCTGGCTGTTGGCGCTGAATATCATGGATCGCCTGGGCCGGGAATTTTCGATTTTCAGTGTTTTCTTTTTCAGCAGTTTTTTATAGCATTTTCAATATTTTCAGTGATCAGTATTTGGCTAACATGTAAGAGGAGTTTGCTTTGGTGCGTGACAAGCGCAGAAATCAAGGTTATTTCAGGGGGACCAAAAACTCTATCCATCGAAAGGGTCACTGTTGCTGTGGAGGCCTTGAGTGCACTCTGTTCCTGTTTCTTGGCGACGCCAACTGCTATGCTTGAATGGCATCTCCTTAGCGTGCCGTATCGAGGCCATAACTGAGAAGAAAGTTGCCTTCTGGAAGGAATGCCTCTTGAAAAGTGGTAAGAAGATGCCTCCTCCGGAGAAACAATGCAGGGCTTTCCCAAAGATTGAGAGGCTGCTAATTTTTTTTAGAATAAAGTCTTTCGGTGTAGCTGGTGGCCTTGAGCACGATTGCTACCAAATGCTGTTATTTGAACGGAACATGAAAGCGAATTCAAACCCATTCTTCCAACATGCCTGGGTTATGACATCGAAGAATAGCATGAAGACCATGATGAGACAATGAAAAAATATCCTCATACTTCGAGGTCATAGTTTCCCGCTTATGGCCGATACGGAGCCACCAAAAGCCGCTGTTGGTGACTTAGTCTGTCAGAAATGGGTCATACCTGGCTTCACTTAAGCGAAGGTCATTAGAGCTGAACATGGTCATATTCGTAAACCAAAGGTCAGACAAACTTAAATTAGCATTTCCGAACTGTTTTGCGTCGGTGGCCTTGACTTCGGAGCGCGTGCTAAGACCCAGCCCGTTGCATACACCCTGGGCCATACCCCACGTTGTGCTATCCAACCCCACCGGATGACTTTGCCTGCTCCCCTTCGCCAGACAGGAATGCGGAGGGCTTTACGTACCGCGCAATGCTGAATTACGGCCAACCCACGCTGGGTTTGACCTTAAGTCAGCTGCCAGCTGCCGCTTCCACTTCAGTCGGGTCAGATAATGTGCCCACGCTGGAACTTGTACCCAGCGCCGCTGGATTACGAGTCCAGCATCGCTCCCCTAGACCGCGGAGACGGCCGTGGTCCAGAGGGCATGTCTCAGGCCCGGCATGCTCCTTCGTGCATCACGGGCACCGGTGTGATACATCACCTGGTAGCAATGCAACATGCTTTAGCTGCCCTCTTAGACGTGCCCCATTTCATTGAGGAGAGGTGGTGTTTGCAGTGCAAAATCTTCAGCACGAAGGCGGATTCCCCACTGTACGTGCCAATGCATGCATGCATGTATTATGCATGCATTACGTAGGCATGCATGTAAACATACGGTATACACGCTTTAAGCCATCAACCGTTCTCATTTTATATTTATGCGCCATCTGGTGCATCCAGCGCATAGTGTGCATAAATGTTTACAGAGACCATCAGCGAGCATTATGCACTGACCCATTGCTAATTATAAACCGACACCAATGGTGGTACGAGGCAAGGGGCCGCTGGGAATCCGCCGGTACCTGAATCAGAGACCGCAGCCCATACAACACCGTTGCCCAGAATTTTTGGACAGACTCGCATCCCAGTCTCAAGGTCCTTCCCCACGTTTGAAAGCTCACGCTTCAGTACTACAAAGCCAATGTTCACGTTGACCGCTCTCAGCGTGCACCAGTGTGGGACCCTGACCGCTCCAGCGCGCTCCACCCGACCGGGCCGGAACGGGCGGCCCTTCGGCGGGGGCTGGCGCCGGCTCAGCCGGGCGGCCGAGGGCCGAGATTACCTGCCCGGCCACGGGCTCTTGGAAGCGAGCTATTGTCTCGCCGCGGCGGCGGCTGCGCCTGCTGACAATCCCTGAGGCTTGACCGGCGTGTTGGCCCCTCGACTGAAGTCACTACCCGTCGGACCGATACATGCTTTTCTTTCAAGTGGGCTACACTGTTTGGCTTTAGACGAAACGCCGTTCACCTCTTCAACTAGTTGTAACCATTTAGCTAAGTATCTGTAAATGTTTTCTCTCAAATTCGGTCACTTGCCGGCATTTGCAGCTGTGTATTTGAGGTTTGAAGCCAGTGTTGCCGCCGGTGGCTGGGGACTGCACCCAGTTCACCAGTTCAGCAGTTCACCAGTTCGCTCCACGCGGACGCCATAGCTGCGGCGATCAGTCGCCCGCGCCCCAGTGAAAGGCGGTCGGAGACCTGACGCCATTGGCATCGGTGACGCATTGGGCTGGCATCGGGTGACGCATTGGGTTGGCATCGGGTGACAGTCGTGGCATCGGGTGACAGCTGGCATCGTTAGTGTCGGATGACGACCCACATCGCGGCTCCTCGACCTGACAGACGGACAAGTCGGGAAAAGCATGCGAGGAATGCAGGGAATGCAAGCTTCACCAGGGGGTCGGCTTGCTGATTTGAAAGCATTTCTGCATCGTCACGGCCCGCTGACGTCGGTCAGATGACGACACGCCGCGCACGCGACCCGTTACACGCGCTCTGTCGTCAGCCCTCCAGCCGGGCTTCCACTCTAATACCTCACGCACCGTCGGCTTTCTGATTTGTGGATCGGCATGAGAAACTGTGGGTGATGCAATCAGTCGCTTCGCTATCTTGTATCGGTTTCGGTATGTGGCGAGGTGACATCTACTGACCTTTGCATGGCTGGACGTATCTACGTGTGCCGTATCTTTCAAGCTTTGCGGGCTTAAATCTCAATCTCGTGCATGCATTTGGGAGGATAAAGAGTTTGGCTTCAGCGGATTTAGCCTAAAGCTTATGATAATCTGCGAAACACGCTTTAAATCGGTTTTATGTACGACACCAATTTCGTGATATCTGCTCCTCTCCACAGACTTCTCCAAACATAATGCTCAGGACTGTGACAAAATAGCTGAATAAATCTTTCAATTTGGTTTTAATCAATCTTTCAAATCTTCCTTGGATACCCAAGGTCTTTACTGAAACTAATTTTACTCAGTGGTTGTGTGCTCTGCCATACCATTTTAAGGGAATGTTTCACATTTGAAGACATTGAAGCAAGCACCAGATGTGATAAAACACGCTCACTTAAAACTGTTGGCATGCTTTTACGTAGAAAAGGCTACTCTATACAGCACAATGTTTTGGTCTTGTAGACATGTTCCCCGATCCGTCATTGTTTCATCAAGTCATCGTGCCTTGCACAACATTGATTTAGAGCCAATTAACGAGAGTTATACCTGGAAATCGCGCTCACGAATGCCAGGTATGGCGGCACGACCATTACATTTTTAATCGGCCTTGATCGCTGCATGGCGTATCGAATGACAGGATTTGAATGACGTTAACATGGTGCCATGAATGCCAAGACGGCCGTAAAATGCTCTCCGCGAAAAAGTCGCCCCATTTTCGCGGGCGTGTAGCTCAGAAGCTAGGGGGTTCAGGTCTTGAAGAAGGGCAGGGCTGTGAACGGCGCCGAGCGGTCTTCACGATGACGACTTCAGTTCAAACCCCCATACATAATTGGAACGCTCCGTTTAGTCGCTCTCTAACCCGGGATGGGTACGCACATGTTTCAAACATATCAGGCATGAAGATCCGGCATCTCACGGACTTGTTGCCACCAGGTGGCCAGCGCAGCTTCAGAATCGCACACACGGGGCAGCGCGCTGGCTTGAGTCCGGTCGTTCCTCGGTGGCTGGGGGGGGGGGGGGGGGCTTCCCGTCACGTGTGCTCCGCAGTCGGGTGGTTTGTGTTCAGTCATTTGTGCTCCAGAGTAGGACCGTCTGCGCTCTGTCACCTGTGCTCCACAGTCGGGTGGTCTTTGTTCCGTCGCCTGTGCCCCGCGGTCGGCGGTCCGTGTTGTCACCTGTGTTCCGCTTGAGTGGTCTGTGTTCCGTCACCTGTGCTCTGCTCGGGTGGTGGCTGCACACTGACCGCGTATCGCCACAACGACCGCGAAGCGTTTCGGGCGCGCGGGCGCTCGTGGTGGCGCAGGCGGCGCCGGCCGGCCGGTCGGCACTGCGCGCCGTCCGTCCGGCACGTGCCGCGCCGCCGGCACCGTCTGACCCTTGACCCCGGCGCGCGCGACATCTGAGGGGCTGCCCGCTGCCGGTCGTCGGCCGTCTGTTGCTGCCTCTGGTAAGCGACCGAAGCGAAGAGCTGTTTGCTTCGTTCGTTGCATAAACTCGCGCCATGGTGGTATCACGGAGTAGAGCAATGACGCAAGAACTCAGTGATTTAATTATATTTTTTTTCATTGCAGAAGCATGCATGTGGTTACGCTGCTGCTTGTCGGTCATGCAAACGCGTGTTTCATCTTCCCACAAAGCAGAGGGTCATTTGCCGAGCGATGATACAGGATGGTCTCATTGAATAACGTGGGTAATGATGCCAAACAATAGACGTTGTAGCATGAACATAAGCCACCACGTTTGCAAGGGGAAAGAGCTGAGGCTTAAAGCTTTTGCTGGGGTCAGCGGAAACTTCGCATTTTATTTACCTGGATTATCACAATACCGCGCCCCGATCAACAGCAACGATGGTCGTGGAACACCTACCTTCAGGGACCGAATATCACTGAACCACATG